AATGTAACACAATAGCACGTGAGACGCTTGGGAGTTTTACAAACATTTGAATATACCGTGGCCACGCTGTCTTCCGTTCTTTCATACTTAAATGGTTTTAGAATTTAAAGGGCTGTATGTTAAGTCCTCGCAATGTCGTTCTTGTTAAAAATATAGTTTAAAGTTTAGATAATATATTTCGCATTTTAAACTGCTTTATCTAAATATTTTTGTTTTGGTGTATTTTTAAATGATCATTAAAGACAATCAAAATTCTAAGGCGAAACAGTCTTTATAATGAGGAAACGTTTCCGTCAGCTATCGTTCCTAGCTCACTATAAGTCTTGCCGATTCACATAACAGGTTTGTATGACCCATCCACTTGGTCTTGTGTTGGCCAACTTTCACGAGATTCCACGGGGCCCGAACATCTCACATTCACATAGATCGGCTCTTATTACATCGTATGAATTGAAAGTCTAAAATATCCTTAATAAGTTGTCTCATTTCGATCGGATACCCTTGGTAGTACGCAAATTGTGTTTTGAAAGATTTTGTAAATGTATCCGATCTGTATATATGTATTTGAATTGTGTTGTCTACTTGTGTTTTAATTTATTTTAGGACAGTTTTTATCGTCAGTTTGTAATTAAATTTAGACGGCTTAAGAAAATAAAAAAGAAGTGCGAATTATTTAAATAAAAGACTTTAACGGTTATATATTAGTTAAAATTATTTTAACCATGGCCCGACGTTTGGGATGCTTTGCAACAGCCGTGGTCACAATAAAACACTTAAAGTTGTATTTACTTAAATGTTTACTACTGGCGTAAACTACTCACAGTGTCTACGTACGAATTATGTAAACTCAAAAAAATACCTTTAAAATTGGCAAAGAAAGATCGTGTGGTGAAATTATTTTGTAGTCAACTTTTGTACCCGCATTCCCTTTACAGCACAATACAGAACGTTCTGTCTATTCTGTATTTTTCAGGAACTTTGTAATTATTGGATAAATTCAAAATAATGTACAATTTTTAATATCGTTTTATATTATATATTTTATAAGAATTGCAATGATATTGAATAATTATAACTTATGTACTGCGTTGCAATACGTAATACATACACATAATTAACCTACTTGCAGATCTGTTCTTCAATTATGCTTACTGTAATTAAAAATTTGGGTAAATGTTATACTTCCATTAATATTCTAGTTAAACAAAATTAAGTTCCGCTTATATAACTTGGTTGTAGATCTGTGTCGGAAGCGTTACGTGTCATAGATAAGACATAGAAAAGTATAATTATAGGTCTTTTAATAGTCAAAATATATCTTACCATGTTAGGTAACTTCCGATTGTCCATTCTCAGGTAAAATTTTGTAACCATTATAAATAGAAAATAAATGTTATTTATGAATTTAACAAGACGAAAAATGTTAAAACCGTCGACAACAATTGTTTATATTGTTCGAGTTTACACTCACACTACACTTACACCTTCCGTTTTATTAATATATTTGGTTGGGTTTAAAAATAATATTGCATGTGGGTAGGTATATATTATCTTAGTTATAGAATTTCACATAAGGATAATATAAAAGAAAGAGCTATACGGTCTAATGTATTAATGTATTTTTGAATTAAAAATAAAAAAAAGAGAGAAAAAACCATGATTTTCAATAAGGAAAAAGGAAACATATGCGCAATTAACTTAGGCGAAAATTCATTTTCGCCTAAGTTAATTGCTACATGTCTATACTACAAAAATATAAATAAATCAAGTCACAAAATGGCAGTTAGGCTCCTCTGCCTCTAGCGGCCTCATTATTTAATCTCTCTATTTTTAAGTGAATATTTATTTTAATAACATGATACAAATTATCATTGCATTGTTATATTTGTCGCAACCGGCCTAATCGTGTCTTCTTTAGAATATTAACGACCTAATCAGTCATAATGGACGTTGTCAAGTCTCCAGAGAATCTCGTCTTGATAGGGTCGACGTTAAGTAGACGTCCAGTCTCAGAAGGCAATTAGAAGCATCAATATAATTTGCATATTAAAAGATGAACTGCTGCTGAAGGTTTCCTGTCAAGGAAGTTAAACTTACAACTTAAAGCTGACCTAACTTAAATGAATTGAATTGCATTGTGATTTAATTAGAATAATTAAAATTACACCGGTTAATAGAGGCATAGAATTCTGACAATGTTTAATGTTTCGCCTATTTAATACCAAAAACGGATTTTTAGTAACTTTATCTATTAGTTGTTTTGGAAACAAAACTATTCATAGGTTCAACTTTATATAATAGAGGAGAACAGGCAAGTATGTTGTTCACGTGATAGAACGTCGAAAAAAAATACAACCCCAGCCATGTAACATATATAAGCATGATACGCTGTCGATCTATAAAGCCTCTTAACTTTCATATTTCAAATAAAATATTTCCAATCAAGCGTTGCTTAGCTATAAATCGAGACATTAGATTATCTCAATCATTATTAACTTTACGGTAAAGTAAGAACCAGTGCGAGCTCTAGGGTTCCGTAACATTGACTAGATAAACAATTACAGGTAAAGATATGGAGAGATCCACTTGTTGCTATTATTGATATCGGATAAAAAAACGCAATCATGTTTGAAAGCCCCTTTAAATATCAACATTATTATACTCTAGTGTATGTTATTAAAACAGCAACATACATTACTCACTATTTATGAATTCATGATTTCCTTACAAGGTTTTTATTTAATGGAATTTTATTAACAAAAAAAAAATATTTACTTAAATGGACAGATTTAATTTTCTTTAGTTTGTCAAAGTCAACGACAATAGAAGGCCATGTGTCATCTGTGGCAACAACAAACAGTGTGGTTTAAAAACGGCCATATTTGTTGAGGTTTTTTCTCGAGTTAGAAGAAATATACAAATATAGCGAATTCTATAAGGGTGTGAACACTTGTAAGCCCCACGGAACCCTAAAAACGTTAGATACTTCAAGAAACGAAACATTGCCATATACTCTGAAATTTATTAGAAACGGTAAGTTACGAGCGAGGCGACTTTCGTATAAATATCTTATAAGTACCAAGTCCTAAATGTCAGCATCCTGCGACCACAATTGGCTTCAAGCCTGAGTACAGCATCGGAATTCAGATTGTAAGTCTAGATAGAAACTAGCTTTGTAATATTGAAGACTATAGAATTTGTTTTGTTTGACGTTATTAAAATGCTTCTTCGAGAATTCGTAGATTTTATTTGAGATTCGATTATAAAAGCAATACTGTCTGTAGTTTATGTGAGAAGTACCTATTATTAAAAATATATCGCGTTTTAAACCGTTGTAAAGTGTTTTATTTAAATTAATAGCAATATTTCAGTGCTTTAAACTCTATTAAGATTAAACTCATTTAAATGTTGATACTACTTACTAAACTGTTTTGTTTTAAATTTTGCTTTTGTTTTTTTAAACATTTTTTTACAGCTAGTTAGGTACTTGTGCCATCTATAAGTTATACATAATTCAAGGAACTACTATTTCGTGGCTGTCGGTACTTACCTATTTCAAACTTAAATTTAAACATGGTAAGTAAAAATATGTCTGTTACAAAAGTTAGGTCTATAAGTTTTTTAATAAACTTAATTAAATTAGATAAAATGTAGGCGTTAGCAGGTTTATTTGAATCTCCTGCATTTAAGTAACACAACATTTAACTTAGCTATTTTTTTTGCTGTCCTTCGGCCTTATCAAATACTTAAATGTAATTGCTTTGCAAAACCGAATGTCGATACATATATTTTAGATAAACCGGTTTTCTATGTACCTACCTTTATCTACAAGAAATTTAGTCCCGCTTGACGCTGAGAAAGTAGACGTTCTTCAAAATATTCAAGGTCAAATAGTTCTTTTATATTATTTAGTTTTTGTATTATGGTAATAATAGAAGGTAGTATATATCGACAAAAATATAATTTAAAAGTCTGTGATAACAAAATTTAATATATCGTACGGTCTTTTACGACAAAAAAGACAATAAGACCTGTGTATTTATTCTATCCTAGTATTCAGGTACTAGGAAAATATGTTGTTCTACGTAAATAGAAGACAAACACACACATTATATACGCCTATCTCATCTGACTTGAGAATAGCTGACACGATTTTTTGGTTTGAAAACCATATTTTCTTTTTCTGACAAAAATGTATTTAAACTCCCACAAATAAACGTCGCGAATCTCGTAATCAACGAACTTACGGGTCATTGAACCCAGATAGGTACATTAACGTGGGCACGACGTACTATGACGTAAATTAATGTATTTGGGGAAAATTTGTAGTTTAGGTTTTCAAATAAGCTTTCACTAATTATAATTTACAAATGTAGCATTCTACCTTCTCAACTTCATCAAATTCCATTCAGCAGTCTAAGTTTGTGTGAAAAGGTGCACGTACTCACGAGCTTTCATATTATTAATGTGTGCAAAGTTATAATAACTTGGAATTATAGAGCTTTCGAACAATAAATAGACGCGGCAGTAAAAAAAAGTAGGTAGGTAGGTAGACATACCCTGTTTCGATGATGAATGAAAAACAATCCTCAATACACAATCACGGACACACAACACTAACGTAAACTCAAAGCACAAATTCGATCACAGGCTTTAACGAACTTACTTTGAACGGTCCATGGCGTGATTTAAGGCAGCATTCGAGATGAAAGCCTTCACAGACACAAAATGGGGACACACGTTACACTAACACACTACGTCACTGAAGCTAGCACCGCGTGTACTAATACGCTATTTCACTTATTACACACAATATTAACGAGAAATGCCGCGGAATTTAATAATACATACGCCATGCAACAGAGGTACGTTTAAACTAAGTTGGATCCGCTATAACCGTTGATTCAGATGTACGGTCGATACAACAGTCGTTTTGAATTGAACGGCTTTACCGACTCGGGTTCGTGACGTAGCGCGAGTGCGTCTGTCTCCTTTCATCGCTATCGGATAGAAGGAATTAGCGATATGAGCGAGCGAGAGTGGGAGTAGGCACAACCTGTGTTCGCGCAGAAAAGCCTCGTTTTCAAACAACTATGGCGACAGGTGAAATGTTTAAGTGTGTGCGTTACAACGCCGTTTTTCTTGATTGTTGGGATTCTGATAAAATATTCGACACCATTAAACTTCTATCGAAACTAGCCGGGTGGTGTTGTGTTCAATCGTGTGGAATTCATTAGGCGACTAAATATATTGTTATTGTATGTTGAGAAATAGTTTGAATACTTTGGAAGCTTTATAAAACCGTATAAATGTGTCGTGGCTCGCGACAGTGGTTTAAAATACTCTTTTCAATAATGTCACAATAGTTTGAATTTCAGCCAAGGAGAAGTGTGTCAAAATGTTATAATAGCTGTACTTTGGACTATTTATCGAAATAGCGTATATTGTTCGAAGATAAATTTAAATGGAAAAGGTACGTATAAGGTTTAGAGGGTCAAACCAGAAAAAACAAATTATTGATTGATTTTCTGAATTTAAAATGAAACCGTTTTAAATAAAAATACCTGTCGCATGCTCATTAAAGATTAATAATATGCAAAAATTCAAGGCCCAATCACGTTGTCAAATTAAAAGGCCCACTCATATAGGACTCAGTTAATTAACTTTTACCTATAAAATATTGCTTAATTACAAATGAGAACTTAATGAATGAATAATTTTAAGGTAGTTTGGCACAATGTTACATTTGTTGGCCTATTTTAAGAATACATTTTATTTTCGAAACACATGAACAACTTAGGTTAACTTTGAAAAATAATCATAAGCAGTTGACGAACATCTTTTGTTATTAAATAATTGCAAGCAGTGCTTGAAAAGATCTACTTTCTTTTTATTATGATATAAAGCAAAAAATTAAAGAGGTTTTACTATAAGTCAACTTAACTAAATATAAAGATAAAGAAAAAACATTATATATACTGTGCTGTAAGTTATTTATTTTATTTATTTATTAAAAACCAATCACACACCTTTACAGAATAACAATTCCAACATGATAGTGAGTTACAATTAATCATTTAAATAAAATTAAAATTAATAGTTATCATATTACATATAACGCTACTACATATACGTTATAGTCTTTATGAACTCGGTCACTGTACAATTAAAAATGTCTATTTTACAATTAACACTGTTAAGAATGTGAAGTGCTCGCATATTCGGGGAATAATACATTAAGTTTGTTCTCGCGGGACTGATGGCGAACAGTGATCTAGTACGTCGTCGTAGGTAGGCATCTGGGACGTAGAAGCTGATGGACTGTAGCACCGTGGGGTCATATGTGATGCCTCTCAGCACCTTGAACACATACGTGGCCAACGCTAGGTGCCTCCGTGCTTCGAGCTTAGCGTATCCAACCATGCCTAAAACGAATAACGTCGGATACATTAAGGGGTAGTAAGGATACACCCCGTAATGCCTTTGATATAAGTGCCTCGTAAACTTATTTTGAATACGCTCTAGCATACTGCTATACTTAACTTCGTGTGGCGCCCAAAGAACGGCGTTGGATTCCAACTGACTTCTTACTAATGCGTTATACAGCACTGTGATGGCTCTGGTACTGGTGAATGCAGACGCTCTCCGAAGGACAAAACCCAGTCGCTTATAAGCTTTCTTACAGACACTGACTATGTGGTCTCTAAACGTGTACCTTGCGTCTACTGTAACTCCGAGATCACGTACAGATTGCACTCTTTCCAAAGGTGCGCCTGCCAATTTGTATTCGTACCGAATTGGGGCTTTTGCTTTGGTAAATGTTATGACGCATGACTTAGATAAATTAATTTGCAGCTTGTTATTTTCGCTCCACGTCTTTATTTTATCTATATCTCCCTGAAGATTAATGCAGTCGCCTTTGTCCTTGACTGCCAATAAGAGCTTTAAGTCGTCGGCAAACAACAAACACTTGGCTTTTCTTACTACGTCAGGCAAGTCGTTTATCATGATCGAAAAATGCAAGGATCCTATATTGCTCCCTTGACTTACGCCGGAACGAGTAAAATATGTCGCAGATTGACACCCACAATACTCCACGTACTGTTTCCTATCCTTTAGGTAGCTGGCAAAAAACCATAATAGTTTAGGAGTGCATCCTATTTTTGCCAGCTTCGAAAGTAGGACATCGTTATCCACTACATCGAAGGCCTTTTTGTAGTCGAAGTAGGCTGCATCCACCTGCACCCCGGAGTCAACATGAGGAATCAGGTACGTAGCTGCATTTAGCAAGTTGCTGGTCGTACTTCGTTTTGGCCTAAACCCATGCTGAGAGTCAGTTAGGTACGTATCTATTTGCTGCTGCATACTTCGTTGAATGGCTGACTCGAATACTTTAGCAATCGATGATAAAACTGCAACGGGTCTGAACGATTCGATAGTTTTACCGCCGTCGCTTTTAGGTATCGGTACAACCCTAGTAGTTTTCCAGGCGTCCGGGAAGTGTGACCGATCAAGACATAAGTTGTAAACATGTAGAAATGGCTTGGCCAATACTAACCTGCAGTCGCGTAATAAGAAAGGCGGAATTCCATCTGGGCCCACGGAGCTTTTTGGCTTCAGCCGAACGAGCGCAACTTTTACTTCGGCTAGCGACAGTTCGGGTACGTGAACACGAGCACTACCGCCGCCGCTCGCCCTCACCGCTTCGTCAACATTGAGTCTCGCTGGTTCGTTATTGTACACAGAATAAAAATATTTCGCAAATTCATTCGCACATTCCGAATTCGATAACTGCACACCGTTTTTATAAACTGTTTGTTTTTGTGCAGACGATTTTTTTGCTCCGATATATTTCCAAAAAGATTTTGGGTCTTTAATTAAATTGTTTTGAATTCGTTGTTCGTATATCTGAAATGTCTGTTTTAGATTAGCCTTAACTCTCCTTCGACAAAATGCAAAAGCGTTATAATCCGTATCCGATCGACTTAATTTATAGCGTTTGTGTAACTTAGCCTTAAGCCTTATATCATTAATAATATCGGACGTATACCACTCGGGATAGCTACATTTATGATTTTTCGCGTTGGACTTTCTAGGCACATGCTTATCTAGAATGTTGTTCAAGATATCATATAACGCTGCAAGGGCGTGCTCAGGGTTTCGCATATTATAAACGTCACCCCAATCGACGAGACTCAGTGAGTGATATAATGAAGCAAAATCTGCTTTATAGAAATTCCAAGTTAATTTACTCCTACCTGCAGCGGTCCTACTTTCCCAGTTATGCAACACGTCCCGTCCTATCCTTGTATATCGGGGGTAGTCCAGCTCAATCAAGAGTGGCGGGTGATACGGGTCCACCAGCACCAACGGCTCGTCCGCCTCCTTCACCGACACCTTATCCCACAAGTATGACGAGCACAACACAAGATCCAGTTGCCTACCATTACAATTCGGAATATTATTAACTTGAGTGAAATCACAGTAAGATTTAAAAAATTCAAAATAATTTCTAACAACTCCATTAGTAGAATACAAATTAAAATCGCCTAGCAATAACACTTTTTCGTATTTTAAACACAGTCGCTCTAATAAATTTAAACATAACATATATTCGTTCTCACTGATTTTAGGAGGTAGATATACTACGCAACACAACAACAATAATTTGTCATTAGAGTGAACGGTCGCACAGACTAGTTCGAACGAGTGGCGATCTACCGTGACGTCATCTAGTTCGCATCGGCTCACTCTTTGTATTCGTAAACCGCGCGCGGCCACTAGAAATGCACCGCCTTGTTTACGTCCGTCAGTACGGTCGCACCGAATAATTTGGTACCCTGCAGGTATAATTTCGCCGTCCATTATCGAGTCATTACATCCAGTTTCCGTAATAGCAATGATATCAGCTTCTAAATATTCTAAGTTGCTACAAAAACTGTTCAACTTAGTTCGAAGGCCCCTGGCATTCTGATAATAGATAGTTAAATGAGCATTATTCTTCGATTGATTTGCTTTTTGATTTACGAAACCAATACCACTGAGAAAACTCTGCATGAATGGGCCAAACTTCCGGCTGGCATAACTTCTGATACACTGACTCTGAAGCGGTGATTATAAAAGAGGAATAGCTTCTTTCCCGCTTATGTTTTAGCTTAATAATCTTTGTATCAATATCCGATCCACATATTTTTTGTACATAAGTTGATAGCTGATCCACTGTGGTATCAGTTTTCAATCGCCAAACATGTAGATGTTTTATTTTTTCTGAAGCCTGAATCTCAAGCATATTGCAATTTTTTCCTCGCATAATATCTGCAGATTCTGACCTTAAGACTTTTTCTTGGGAATTATTTTTGTTATTCCTATGTCCTACCTCTACGGTCTCGAGATCCACCGATTGCAATTGATGTCTCTTAACTCGTCGCGTTTTGATTGTCGCTGAGCTGATTTTCGTGGCTTTCGTGGCCTCGCTAGTACTACCGCCTACCTGCCTCGGGTTTTGAGCGATTTTGGCAAATGTTGGTGTTGGTATATTTTCTATTCGCTTCTCCGATATGTCCTCGGTACGAATACACTGCCCGTTATTTACATTGAGAGCACGATTGATATTTTCACTATTGCTTTTATCACTTTGTTCAACTACCGACATGAACTTCGTTTTAATTTCTTGCAATTCCGATTTCAGGGAAATACACAAATCTCGAAGATCCATAATAGCTCTTGTTTGCATGTCCATTTTCTTGATAACTTGGTATTTGAAGGCTCGGAGTTCCAAAGCATAATCGCAATCACCATTTATGAGAAGTGAATCATCGGGTGCTTGCACGCGGGATCCTCTCAGCGTATTAATATTAGTTTCGAACGAGTTTTTTTCACACCCTGGAGTTACATATGGGCTATTTGGCTCGTTTAAACTGCTTAAATCACTATTTTGACTAATTTTCGACATTTTTACTAATTTATTTAAACGTTTTTTGCGGGAGCACACAAAAACACTTGCAACCGAACGAATGAATGATAGAACATTTGGTAGAATTATGTCCTGACACTGAAGTTCAGTAAGTTCTTAGAGCGTGGACAGCGGGGCTATTGCAAAGGGGGTGGGGGAAGGGGGGGTTCGTTGTAATGATAAAAATTACTGTCTGTAGTTGATGCGAGTAGTACACATTTAAATAAAACACTTTAACGGTTTAAAGCGGGATTTATTTTAGTTAAACTTATTTTTACCTACGGCCCGATCTTTCTAACAAGTTTAACTAAATTATCGCGTAGTAAAGGATTAAAGTGTTTTATTTAAATAATAAAAAAAAACAAATAGCAAATTATTTAGTAATTAGATTGTTTAGTCATGAACTCCATGTAATGTCATTAAAATGATTGCAAGACAATGCCAACTGACAGTAAACTATTCAGGGACGCTGGCTTCGTCTAAAGTTTTTTAACCGCACAGTTTCGTAAGCCACAACTCACAGTCAACATAAATAAAGCTGGCTTAATTAAATTGAATTTTAACGAAGCCTGAACGCAAGGTGAGGCGTTATCCATCGAATTTACATAATATAAAACATTAAATATTCCGCGGAGTGATGTAAATTAAAATGTATGGCTGTCGTTTATATAATTAAGTGAATAAGTGAAAGTCGGTTATGTAAAAGTCGTGCCTAGAGTGACAATTAGAAATAAATCTAATATATAAAATTCTCGTGCCATACTCCTCCGAAATGGCTTGACGATTTTGATGAAATTTCGGCCAACATCTATTTTACATCCCCCTAATTGTACCCCTAATTTTTATTTTTTAGACAACATTTTTAATTTCAATTTTTTTATGATACAACATACAAAAATACATACAGTCCTCAATTTTCATCCTTATACGATCAACCCTTATTTTTATATGGCAAAACAACGTATGCCAGGTCAGCTAGTATTTTATATTCGGTTTTAACAGGTACGATTCATAATAAAATAAAAAAGTGTCTTTATTAATTCAATTAATTCAAAGAAAATGATACAAAGACATAGATAAATAACTAATATAATCACCAACATTACATAAAAAACAATGTTAATGGTTTAAAAAGCGTAGTTAATATAAGCTGTGAATAAGTTGACTAATATATTTCAAACCGTTAAAAACGAGGGTGTTTACCCTCTTTTCTAGGCGATTTTACTCAACAACACTGATAACAGTCAGAATAACTGATAACAAAAACTGTTTTATTAAATTTATTTAAAATCCATTTATCCTAAGAATGACGTGGGGTTATAATAAACTTCCCTGTAAACTAGATCGTTTTTGGTATCTCTCTACTGTGGTACTATTGAGCCACGGAGGAACGTTAACTTTCCAATATTTCGTAGCAAATAAAACTAAATGAAACAGAAATATGAATTCGCGAGACAGTTTGCTCCATTTTAATGGGCGGTAGTTGCAGAACTTCACTTAAACATTTTTATTTAACAGTTACCCGCGGGATGAATATCTAAGAATATCTTTAACGAAGCATTCGAAATGAAACGAAGTCAAGACGTCAAAAAATAAAACTTAAAAGTGCAGTTCATTTCATCTACATATTTATTAAGATTGTTAGTATTTAAATAAAACACTTTAACGGTTTAAAACGCGATATTAACCAATATAAATAACTTCGGCCCGACGTTTCGGATGCTTTGCAGCAGCCGTGGTCACGGAGTCTCCCCGTTAAAAATCATTTTCAAATAAGTTTAACCAATATATCGCGTTTTAAACCGTTAAAGTGTTTTATTTAAATTTAAATTGTTAGTATATTTATTATGCTTTATTAAGGACACTATTGGACACTAGGAGACTATTATGCCTTATCATAGATACGTTTATAGTAAATTATGAGTAGGTAAGAAAAATACATTAACAAAACGAAAATTATAAGGTATTTACAAGATCAATGAAAAAAAAATGATCTAACACTAATGCACTAAAATTATGTAGGTAACTACAATAAATTAGATTTTTTAATCATGAAAATTCCGAACATTTGTAGCACGTTCCATGCAGGATCCAGACATAATTATTTTTGAAACACCAATGAACGACTAACCTTACTTAAATGGGACTTCGTGGCTGAATTACATGAAGTACTTTAGGTGGTGTTTGCAATCTTTACTTTCCAGACTTTGGCGCTCTTGGATTGGTTTATTCGAAGCACTCGCTCCAGAGAGTGCAGAGTAACGAAACGCAATGGCTGCGCAAACGCATATAAAAAAGGCTTTTAATATACAGAGGGTAACACCGCAGGGCGTACTTCGTATTATCACAATCAAACATGAACACGAATTTTATTCGATTCCTAATGAAATGATGGTCCAATAATTGATCCCTGTGACATGTTTATGTGACGTCAATAGCTGTAATAGCCCATGTAATTACGTCCAGGGCAAATATAGGGAGAGATTAGCGCTACGCTCTTATTGAAATGTCATTAGTCCCTTTATTGCTACTCGAGTGGAGTGGTGGATTATTCGTGATTTAATTACTCGTTCTTTCAAGGATCATGTATTGTATGGTGATCTATACTAAAATATACGCTGAAGCTATAAGAATAAAAGCAAGTTCAGCAAGAATAGTGTTAGGCATAATTTGAACTAACGAAGTAAGGATAACCTAGCTATCCCAAAATATAGGCTCCATAAAATATCTAATTCATTTGCGGGGAATTGTTTTCGTATGTCAATACATTGCCAGTTGAGATTTCAAATTTATCGACAAATAAATGTAAAAAAGTTATAAAATGTAGATTGTCTCAAAAGGCGTATTACTGTCTAAACGATTTCTTTAACGACAAGACCGCCTAGCAGTAATATGAATTGCTCCTTAGGTTAGTAAATTCACAACAATGTATTAGTTTATAAGACATGTTAAAAAAGGAGGACTGAGATTCTTGGGTGTTCTCAGTTATGTTGCTCTTTTGAACAGTCTGTAGAATCACGACAAACAGACAGACACACAAAAAAAAATTGACGAATTTAAATAATTTTTAAAATTTTAAAGAGAATAAAGTATATTTTATGAAGCTAAGGCTGAAGAGTTTGTTTATTTGAACGCGCTAATTTCAAAAACTACTAGTTCAAATTGAATTATTAGATATTTTGTCTGTTTACTAACAATTCAGATAGCGTTTCAATGGTATGTATTCAGGGAATGTTTCGTAAAGTATCTTAATGAGAGTAGGCCACGCCCGTCGTTAGAATAATCAGAACTGATAAAAACAATGGTCGAAAGATGAATTTAATTGATCACAAACTTGAATTAAAAGTAATTTATAACATTTTTTACTTTCATTTGTCTATTTATTCTTAAAGGGCAACTTAAATACATTTTTGTCTATCCTATTCTATTCCTTTCTCCAAAACCGTGTATGCTATAATCGTACCATAAAACAACAACTTACCTTCATCTATGTACTTAAGGACGAACTGGACATCAGGTCCCCAAGCAGAAGCCACCTCCAAAGGTGACTCCATATCCCGAAGAACGTGAACTGGAAATTAAGTAAATAAAATCAAATTACTATTGTGATTTAAACGTACTCTTATTATTTTTAATAAAACACGTTAACGGTTTAAAACGCGATATACATTAAAAACGTCGGCCCGCAGTCAAAATTCGAACTAAGTTCAACTAATATATATATCGCGTTTTGAACCGTTAAATTTCGTTAACGTTTACAATTCTAAATCCTATACAACGGATTTAAAATTGTAATGTTGTTTCTGAATAAACGTATTGTATTGTATTCACCAAGAGTGATTTCTAAATATCGATGTGGTATTTTGTTTTACCAAGCATATATTAAAATATATTATTAAAAATTCATATATTAAAAATTATCTTTTTATTTCAAACTCGTAGAATGCTTCTAATCATACATTGCAGTGCAAAGCACGACGGCACTTGTACTAAAAGTTTTGGTACACCATTGCACTCACAATTCCCGTCTATTGAAGTCACAGTCCTCTTACAAACTTAGTTTACATTTTTAATTTAGCTCGTATAAACCCTCTTTTCGTAAAAACACTATAGTTAACAAGTGAAGAGATATTTTCCTTGAATTATCGAAGTTAGCCACTAGAGACGTAACTGCTTTTCAAATAAGCTTAAATAGCGTTTCAAAAAGCTTAATTACACATACAGCGTGGTTTAAATAAGCTCTTCAAGTATTCGCTTTGTGAAGATTTCATTTAGTCCGAGCGCGACATTGACTTCAAAATTCACGGAAAGGAAACATTTAATTTTATAATTATTTTCGCGGAGTTTTACTAGCGATGTGCCCTCGTTTAGTTTTCGTTGGCGGAAATAGGGTAACCAATTATATGATATAATTAATAAACGAATGAAGGGAATAATATATTTACAATGTTAAGTATACAGTTTCACACGTTGGGTAATATTTCGACTAACTAGCCATACTTTATAAGATATACTATCGCGGACATTTTTGAAAAAACATCTAAAGACGAATTATTCTTACATAGATATTTTTTGGTTTCTTGAACCGTTTTCGGAGCACACACATCGGAAGCCGTCAAAGATGAATTATTTTTCTCGTTTTTAAACATGCAAACAGACTCTTTAGCTATAATATAATATATTTAAAAAAAAAAACATTTAAAGACGAATTATTCCTACATAGATATTTTTTGGTTTCTTGAATCGTTTTCGGAGCACACACATCGGAAGCCGTCAAAGATGAATTATTTTTCTCGTTTTTAAACATGCAAACACACTCTTTAGCTTTGTATCAAATCGGTACAGGTTGGAAAGATTTTTTTGCCATTACAGTTGGAGTGACTAAAACCTATATATTGATGTACTTACAAATTACTAGCAACCCTACCTCAAAGACAATAATATAGTCAACATCTATACAAATACAATTGTCCAAGAAAAATAAATACAATCTCGTATATATGTAAAGTCGATTTTAGAATTGAAAACCTAACCAGCATTCACAGCGTTCTGTGTTGTTGTAGAATCATTTTCTCTGATTCATTTATTTTTATCTGGTTGTTAGATAAAAAAAACGTCAAAACACCTACAAGCATTAGCAAATTACCTAGCGAGATAATCTTAAAAATCTTAACGAACCCTCCGTAGTTACGAATACATAATGAAGCCATTACACACACGTACATCAAAGCGCCTTTATGAAACACAAAAGCAATAATTAAGTTGCGCTCGCGCAGCAGACTAAATTATTTCAAAGGAACTTTACGATATTATAAAACGATTTTCTCGTTATTCATTATGCGAAACAGGAGTGTAATATAACCGTAATTATTGTTCTGGTGGGAATAAAAAGTGATTTCAAATGAAGGAGGAAAAGCTGCTTGTGATTTAACTTTTATTGTAAGTACGAAAGCGGAATTACGACGCTTCAATAGGCTCCGCTTATAAAAGCGTGTATTGTTTTAATCGTTGTTGAAATTTACTTTTAATTATATTTTCAATATATACAAGTCCGAGGTGGTTCTATTGTTATAATTTAATGTTGACGGGTCTTGGTATACTGCTAGCATTATATATAAATATAGCTTACGATAGTGGAGGACAGACAAGCACGAAATACACTTTATAAAAAGTAAATGCCCCAGCCATATATCTCAACGTGATGAGCTGTTGATCTATTTTTTGCTTTGGATATTCGGATATACATAGCTAATAAAATCAACGGGTCCAATATGTTTTTAATCCAATTGTGATTTTTCTGAAACACGGTGAACTTTCTGGAAATCTGGATATTAAAAGAGCGGTAGGAATATAGATAATTTCGTGCGCGTAACGAACGACCGTCCGTGAAAAAGCTGAGAAGATTATTAGAGTTTCGGATTCAGTCTGTTGCTTTCTAATTATCAAAAGTCCAAATAGATCTACAGCACATCTTGTCAATATATATGAAGTCATCTAGTAAACTCCATTCTTGTGTCAACGAAATATATTCGTTTTTAAATAAAACACTTTAACGGTTTACATTATTTAAACTTATTTGATAATGCCGCCGCAGCCGGACGGGGAGTCTCCCCGTGACGGCTGCTGCAAAGCATTCGAAACGTCAGGCCGAAGTTAAAAATCATTTTCAAATAAGTTTAATATATCACGTTTTAAACCAACTAAAGTGTAAACTATAGACAGTATTTTATATTAGTATTTATAAACTAGATTAGTGGTTAGTGTAATCAAAGTATTAGATTCGAATCCCGCATATTATGTCAAATGTTTCTACTTTCATAAACATAAGTGGTTTGTCTAAAAAGGCATCTACTATATTTATATTTCTTTTATTTTTTTCTTTAAATGTTTTGTTTCGTATACAAAAAATATTACCAATTATTTCTCTTATACCAACAATATTGACACTTCTAATCTACCTAATAGTCCCGGCTCCTGTCAGTAACTATTTAATTGCGTTAAGTAATAAAATATAAGCGTCGCATAATTTGATAAGGCATTTAAATATTGTATCGAATACTAATGAATTCTTAGATAACATTTTAATTGAAGTCCTATTTTAATATTGCTCAACGAGATATAATGGTGGGAATTACATTATTTACCTTAGAAGTTATAATAACTAGTCGCGGTTATAGTAGCTAATATTAAAAAATCGAAGAACTAGTAGTAACTAGTCAGTTGTATTATTATAAGTATTCATTAAATTATAAATCTAATTAGGTTGAAAAAGTTTATTTGAAAAATATTAAAGTTTTCAAAGTTTAAAACAAAGTACCATTTGACCCCACGACAACGAGCTCGAGTATTCGGCTCGGGATATCTTTCAACGCACCACGGTGCATTGGTGATTTTACTTCTAGTGGTCGAGAGTGTTCTTCTGAATGAATATTGTTAAACTAGCCTGACTCCCGAGCATCGCACAGCCTTTAAGTTACACAGACTAATAACAAACAGAGACCGCTACATAATACACATTTCCTAATATTACCGTCGTTATCAACGTCGCGTGTACGCCTTATCTACCCATTCGCTGCAAATATCAGATCATTACGCCAAATTATAGTTGTTACCTCGCAATTTGCTGTTGCATGCTTTCCTGATGAGAAGTTAATGTTGGCGGGAACAACGCGACCGGCCCATTCACAAACAGATCGAAATCTAGAAGATTATTAATTTCACTTCATGTATATCAAGTCCATCAAAATATGGCAGAAACGCCCCAGGATTATTATTATGTAGTGGTCAATGAACGACCGATTTTTTTATTTATATGTTTGTTACAGAAAACCACACCTACATCAGATTAGTCGTTTTGTGGGGTGAGCGTGCTCAACAAAATCAAACAGACAAACAGAATAGAATTCCAAATATCATTGTTTTGGATATTATTGCTTTGATAAAGATATGATGCTTTGTTAAAAGTGTATTGTAAACTCCGGAAAGTATACTGTGAAATATACATAGGAATATCAGGACGTAGAAACACCATTGAATAGAATTAATGCTTGATCCAAGCATAGCATAATATAAAACTACCTACAAGTACACTCAGAGTCAATACTGAAACTTTTAAAAGCCACACAACCATGCGCAAGAGGCTCTCGTTGCGGTCTTTCATGAAAACTGTAGTTTACATATTTCACGATATTATGAAATAAATTAATGAGCTAGTTGAAACAAAAGCGCCGGTTCCAAGTATTTAACGAGAGTTGCATAATGAAGTGACCCTTTATTACTTAGAGAAAATATATGCATGGAACCGGAATTACGTTTCCCGAGGTAGGATTTTGCGACGCTAAGCGTTATCAAGTCTAAAAGGAGCTGGTCATTTTTAAATAAAATAAAGTTTTACAACGCAAGATTAAACTAATTTAACTAATACTTACTTTATCAAGCAACGTTTCGGATGCTTTGAAGCAACCATGGTCACGAGGAGACGCGTTTTAAACTGTTAAAGTTTTTTATTTAAATGTGTACTTGCGTTAACTATAGACTGGTTATTTGTTTTTTTTTCTAATGATATAGATTGTTAATTATAATTTCTTTGTACGAAAATTTACTGTAACAGTTTAAAACTGTTTTAGTTAACTTATTTTTAATTGATTTCAACTATGACACGACGTTTAAATGTGTACTAGTCGCGTAAACATCAGACAATAGTCCATTTTAATACATCTATTTGAATGTTTTTAAACAAAATTAATATATATGCACATATAAGCACATATAAGTTTATTAATACTTCGTTAAAGAATAGCATTGGAAATATTTAATGATATTAATGGGAGAGTTCATTAATTTTTACATTGTTTAATTTCTTATTATACGGAAAGAAATCGTAGAAATTATATAGCTTGCAGACTTGTTTAAATTTCTATGATACATATGTACATAAATACCACACAATCATGTCTTAGTAAAACGTTATGTCGTTTTGTTTTGTTTCTTTTTTCTTTATTTTATCATATTTTTTATTAGTACAGTATTATAATTTAAAAGCAGTTAAGAATTTGTGTTTATTTTTTTAACGAATGTTACATTAAACAACTGTACTGTAAATTTACTCATCTATTTTCCGTTTTAAACCGTTTATTTAACCTCTATTAAATCCTGCGAAATCCTCACATCCAGAACGTTAGCGCACGTCTGCAGTAGTGTGAGGTCTGCGTGTTCCTGGAAGCAGGGTCGAACTGTTTCCTTGACCGATCGCGAATGAAAATGAAATTTCGGACATATCTTTCCCACGACACTCGATAGGGAGGCAATTACTGCGGCGCGAGTTTTTGCTGCTCGCTTATCGGCTTGTGACAACCACGTTATGTAACATTGTTAACTCGTATGACGAGGTTTAATTATAAAATGTCACTGACGCCATGGTGGTCGTATTTTTAAAGAAAACCGGCTTTGGGAAAATAATCAAAAAGCCGTGGTCACAATTTTTGAAGATGTATGACCGCCACTGTGATTTAATGGTTAAACGCATCGCGTTAAGCACGAGAAGTTCTCGGTTCTTATCCCTGAAAAAACTCGTTTAATATACGAAATAATTCTGCCTCAAGCCCAACATAAAAGAAGCAAGATTGTACTTTTATTATAAAAAAAATCCAATGGTTATATAGCATTGTCTATAAATTCAATTTTAAACTTAAAAATTTTAATAAATAAAGCTGAAGAGTTAGTTTATTTGAACGCGCTAATCTCAGGAACTTAGGAATTGAAAAATTATTTTGCGTTGATTACAGCATTTATCGAGGAAGACTATAAAATATCGCGCTGCGACTAATAAGAGCGGAGAATCAGAGAAGATGTAGAGAAAACGGGGAAAATTCTTCATCTTTGTGAGCTTATATGATAGAATGATTTCTCTTTAAATGTCCGCGTCACTTCTGTCCATCGTTATCGGCAACAGCATAAATCTATTAAGATGAAGAGGATGTTTCCAAAAACAAATTTTGATGCCCCAAATAACTATTATGCAGACAAAGTCGCTAACACAGCTAGTATAGTATGTGTCGCGTGTAGAACCTTTAAAGTGTTTATTGTAATCTAATCCCGTAAACTACCGACAATTTTTCTTTCTAGAACATATAACTAAGTACTTAGCTATCCTATGATATGTAAGACAAATTCCTCTAAACAAGGATGTCGGCGAGAGACACGCACTTGACATAAAAAGTGGAACCGCTACATCACTTTTTGTGTCAAGCTGAGGATGTGGGACAACTCAATGGCCCATCCGTTATGATCCCACTTTGATTCTCCATAATAGCACTTGCGTTTATGGGTTGGTACCTGTTGAGACGTCGAGGATTCCTTTTGATTTGGACCGGCTTTCGTCTAATGGGGAAATTTTCTTTAACTAGAACCTTTTTATGGAAACTTACAGATCGATTTGTTCACACCAGTGTTATCGTAACATGCATTCCTCTAATGTACTTTACAATCTTTACTGTATATCATTGTTTTTTGGGCTGTTAGGCCGACGTGAGCGAGAAGAGGTTATTATTGAGTTAACATCTCCTGATGATGCTGTCCGCAAGTGATGGCGAAACGTCGAGAGCCTCTTCTCGCTCATGTCGGCCGTACAGTCCGAAAAACAATGATATGTTGAACGATGGCCGTCAAAGCCTTACACAATTTATTGACATTTAATTGATTTCTAATGCACAATTATAGACACTATTTGTACTAAGTAATACATAGATGATATATATATATTAGGAAAGTTAATTTATTGTTAATAATAATACGTAAAAGCTTAAATTTGACTCATATAAATATCACTGTGATCTGTTTGGTATAAAGAGCTAATGATACTAAAAACACCCTAACCAGCGAGATTTATTAAAAGAATTTGTGTTATAACGGCTAATAAAATTTGGAACCAGGATATCCGTGATATAACAATCCCGTATCGATTTACGATATAAAGGAGATGTTATAAACACAAATTACGTTTATCAAATAAACGGAAATGGAACAATTAGTCCATTGATTGGAAGTCAATATCGTTCCGCGTCGTTGGCCCTTAAATATGAACGTTTTAATAAATGGCTGATTCAATTATTTCATTTGAATAGGATAGGGGTAAAAGTGGATAGGCTCAATGTATTGTAAGTCTTGGAAACGGGTTACATATATGCAAAATTTGGTGGGTGCTCATCTGTTTTTGTTAATAGCATTTTACCAAACACTTTTTGGCTATTTAATATTTTTTATTCATTATTATTTTTGAAGTATACGGCAAAACTCGAGACTTATGGGTAAGTCCATCAAGGCCTAGTTTCGGGTAAGGCTTCTATAGTACGTTTCATAAATAATGCGCGGAAATTAAAGTTAAGTAGCAGTCAAGCAGTTGACGAACAAGTAATAACAATAGTTTTAAAACTTTTTTTTTTTCAGTAAAACAGCTTTTTATGTGCAGTCATAAATAATATGATTTTACACAGTAATTTAATTGGCCGCGATGTATTTATTCATACAAATATTGCCGACCACTGCTACCGCAAGACCACTACAGCAAGTACGGTTTATCTCGAAGGAGATTTCGATCGATATTTGAAAAAATAAGTTTAACTAATATATCGCGTTTTAAACCGTTAAAGTGTTTTATTTAAATGTGTACTACTCGCGTAAACTATAGACAGTATTCGAAGGAGATTGTCAAAATAGTGCTCAAATTACATGCGTGTTTGAGATAGAATATATTTAAAATACGTAATAGGAACTATTTATAAAACTTATAAATTATTATCTATCTGCGCATAATCATTGAAATTTTATGGAGTACGTTATTTTTTCACATGTTATTGCGCATGGTGGCACTATACAAATACAAAATCGATTTTAGATTTTAAAAAATACGTTGGTTTTCTTATAGTCGGAGTATTGTTCTTATACTGACCTCCATGATGTGGATGAACGCTGATGAGGAGACAGGGTTCGTCTCCGGGCTCCCGGCAACAGTCCAACACATCTCTGCTGGTAGTCTGTGGGGTCACAGGCACCGCAGTGGGGGACCATCCTACCCCGCTCTCGCACCATACTCGCACTATAATCTGGAAAGTGGAAATTAGGGATTGAATCGATACAAGTAATATCTAAATAAAGCTTTTTTTTAATGATAGGAGGACAGAGAAGCGCGGGGTGCACTAGATGGCAGTTGATATACCCCGGCCTATAGCATCTAAATAAGTTGCACTGTCGACCTATTTTGGCTTTGGATATTCGGAAATCTACATATTGAAACAGAAACGCGATTAAGTTTCACGACTTTTTCGATCAAGATGGAATTTCTATATTCCTATTTATTATCCAGATTTCCAGACGAAGTCCAACTAGTTTCAAAATAATTATAAATTGATTAGAAACATATGGGACCCGGTGGGGATCGAACCCCCGACCCGTTGAGTATTAGCCATACATTGCTACCATTCGACCAACGATGCTGACCAAAAAAGCTAAACCCGAGCATTAGAAATACGCAGACTTCATAATCGGTACGTCAAAATTCCTCAAAGTCATCTTCATCGTATAGTTGACGGTCACTGCACAAACAATAGTCCACAACTACGACTATCCCCCGTGGGTCAGCATCCGTCCAAGTCAACTCAAACACACACTGTGGTGGACCAAGCCGAAGCCGATACCCCTCGGGGCACCTTTAATCTAGTGCGGTAAGTTTTAAAAGCTGACAGGCCGAAAACTATTGTTAATTTGTTAATTTATAAGTATGTATGTAATGGTATATATTGGACTATATTAATTCTACTATTAATTGAAAGTACGAAATATAAAGTTTAATTGCCCACTTGTCGTCTTATTAATATAGTACGAACCATATTTAATGCAAAGAAAATAAACGATTTTAAATACTAGTTTTAGACGTCGATAGCACTCCTAATACTGAGCATGAAAGTTAGAAAAGTGTTGTTTAAAGGAGCTTTTGAAACATCATTTGTGAGGATGAAAGCTCAACATATTCACGTGTGTTTTAATCAGCTATCGAGTGAAGTAGACAAAAGCTATATAAATGGTGAATGGCTACACTAAAAGTAGAATGATGTTTTAATTTAATATAGAAACCAATACACATATCTCTACTATATAGTTTGTTTGTTTGTTTCAAGGCGCTAATCTAAGGAATTACTCGCATTTATCGAGGAAGGCTATAATAGGCTATAAAACATTGCGCTGTGACTAATAGCAGCAAAGAAACAGCGGGAAATGTAGAAGACACGGGGAAAATTATTTATCTTTATGAGTTTCCAATCCGTTCGCTGAGGAAACGGTTCAATATATTTAAGAAAGAATTATACACCTCTTGGAAGAGTCTGGAGAGAGAAGATTAAATTGCAACAACGACGCGACAGATGTCGTGAGTTACAGCTTATATTTGTAATAATAAGAAGGAATAATAAATTTTGAATGCCCAAAATTGTGTCAGCGACTTCGCCCGCGTAACAGCTAGTAACGAATGGGGGGCAGGGGGCAGACAAATTTGTGTGTATATGCGTGACAGATTTCATTTAGAGTAGTATTTTTTTTTAATTGATTAAGCTGTTTTGGTTTATGTGAGTTTTTTTCTATGCCTTATGAATTTCAAATCATACTAAACACTTTAAAATGATTTCAATCAAATCAAAGCACGCGTTCATTAATTCATTCAATACGAGAGCGATTAAATTAAATATGGCTTCAGAATTATTTGTGTATAGAAGTAGTTTGTATTCATTAGCAAGTGCTTTCATTTACAACCCTATTAATTAGTAGCGCAAACTACCCTAATTGGACAATTTAATAGTAAACGCAGCTGAGTTTCCATTCAAAACTTCGTCGTCGCCACTGGAAATAGTAAGGGAATTTAAAAGGAAGAAAACATCAACCTTTGTGCGCGAAAACAACTGTATAAGAACGTCATTTGTTTTATTTACATTATCATTATATACTTTTAATGTTTGGTGACTATGAGTCACTTTGAGTTTGTGAATGTTTTACGCTGAAACGGCTAGACTGATTTTGAAAATGTTTTTAAGACTATATGCAAAGATATTTCATCTGTTAGCCAATACAGATATTTTTGACATAGGAAGAGATAAATACACTTTAACGGATGCTTTGCAGCAGCGAAATACCAAATACCTACGACAAAAAAGATATATCAGTTTTTAATTTTGCATCTGAAACGTAATCCGAAAATAATTTTTAAATCAGTTAAACGGATATATTTCGTGTTTTAAACCGTTAAAGTGTTTTAAATAGTAAGAGATATATGAACGCCGACCTAAGATGCAAGTTTTTTTTTATTTAATAAAAGTCAACGAAAGTTTGACGTCTTTGGTGTGAGGTCCAATATGTTTCTAATCAATTTATAATTTTTCTGAAACATTAAAGGCTTCTTCTGGAAATCTAGAGATTAAATGGATGAAGGAATATTGAAATTCGGTCCGGGTCACGGACCAACGTCCAATTTATGAACAAGCCGTGAAGTTTAATCGCGTTTCGGATTCAGTTTTTGGATTTCCGAATATCCAAAGCCAAGATTGTTAAATGGCTGGGGTATTTAACCTTCCGTGTGACATGCTTGTCTGTCCTGTAAAAGTAGATGTTATTGAGAATTGCTCTCCAAATGCAAAAAATAACACCCCACGAAACGTCGCCTTGCGCTCTAAAGTTTGACAACTATACAATGTTTCCGAGCATAGATCTACGAATTTCCCTCTAACAAGATGTAAACAGGAAAGTTACGTTTCAAAATAAACCAGCCAAGTCCGAGCAGACTTTTGAATTGCTTTATTAAATTCTGAATTCAAAACTTCTTTCTACGTCGTAAGTTGCTCGGAGATTAGACAAAATAAATGGTCATGTTTGTATACGGTAGCGCAATAAGTGAATTTTGTATATTACCTATATTGTATAGTACTTTAATAAATTTAAATAAAACACTTTTAACGGTTTGTTAGCCATATTTTGTTTTGGGTGCTTTGCATCAGCCGTGCCTTGCTCTTGGCCCTGTCATTAAGTTTAATATATTTCGCATCAGAAACACTTAAAAGGTTTTTATTAAAAGTATATAATGTAATTTTAATAAGGTAAAAAACCGACATTCATTTATTGCGCTATGAGCAACTACAGACAGATTTTTTTATACTGAATAATAATTAAAATTAATACATTAAAAATGAAAATCTTTCATATTTAAGATTTCAGTTTTGTAGGAGTAAGAGAGGTGTTTTTCAATTTACGAACATATCCAATCTTGTTAATGGTTTTAAAGGCAAAACACCACGTCCAAATTCCCATAGATAATCACGCAATTGCACTTGTCACATCTTATTATAAACATAAATATGAGTTATTCTTCCGCGAACCCATATAAATCTCATTCCGTGACATCACTTTCACTCGCGTCGGCGTAAAATCTTAAATTTATTTACGATTGTATAACCGGAATAGTAATTTTAACAGTCACTGGATGTTTATGTTCGCTGTTCTAGATATCTATGGGATAAATATAATTGCAAAACAGTACTTGGAGAGAAACATAGTAATTGGTAAATACACAATATGTATATTTTAATTTTGACAAATAATAACAAGTATGAAGTAAATAAATTAATACCGTCTATTCGTCGTTTACGCGAGTAATACACATTTGAATTGAACACTTGAACGGGTTTGAACGCGAAATATATTAGTTAAATATTATAGAAAAATTATTTTACCATTTTGGATGCTTCGCGACAGCCGTGGTCACGGGGAGGCCAAATGAAAAAGGGGTGTTACCATCGCATCCGGAGCCTCACAAAAGAAGTAGCAAGTTCTTACAGTTGTAACACACTCGTATAGTAACAACAGGAATCGAAATATAATATAGTAACTTACATAGTAGGTTGTGTAATGTACGTCTTTTCACGATTCGACTTTTCTGACACTTTTCAGCACCCAGTGGTGGGAGAGAAATGTTAGTCGTTTTACCTTTTAGTTCCGTAGATTTAACACTTATATTAACTATAATTTTACAGACCGACAAAAGTTAAATTATTTATTTAAATAAAACACTTTCTGTTGTTATAAAATAACAATATTATAAAAAGACAAAGTCATTTGACATTCGTTTTATTTGACTTTTAAATTTAAGAAATTTGTAGTAGCTATCCCATTCTGGCTTAGCCTTAGCAACCATGTACTATCAAATCCTTAACAATAATCTATTCCATTAGCTAAAGTGCTTACAATTATTCATGTAAGTATCGTGGAACTTATGTACGTCGTATTAGTATGCTGATTCCCTGTCCCTTTGACGAAACGGGCCGAGTAAACTTCCCCGAGGTATTATGTAAATATGGCTGACATATGTGCAGGTTGTCTATCACAGTACATGCGAGATCGGACAGAAAATATGGTAAGCACCGTTAAAAATTTAACATATTACTAAAACAACGTTTTAAAATCGAAAATAAATTGTAAAAATTTTCAACTCAGGCAGGACTCGAACCGGCATCGTCAGTCAGCGTTCCGTGCTGTTACACTACCAATTGAGCTACCGAGTCCTACACGTCATCGTCGATTTTTTTTTTCAACTTATTGATACATACACCTCTCGCAAACGAGGTTATTGCTTCACTGTTAAAACTGTAAAATTTGAATTCAGAATTCAATACGTATAAGTGTTAGCAAACGACTGGACCTATTTTTGTGCAGTTTTAATGCATTACATATATTATAATAGTTTTTTTTTATGAATTTTTTTAACGGTTTAAAACGCGATTTATATTAGATTCACTTATTTGAAATTTTTGTGTACTATTCGTGTAAACTTCAAACAGTATTTAGATAAAACTCATTTAAAAAGCTCAGAAAATTATTTACAAACACGATGCACCTAATTAACGGACTTGCCGTCGTTGATAAACTATTTTTAATTGTTATTGCAGCAGATGGCATTGGCATATTAAATATGGATTTTAACTTAAGAAAATACGACTAGTAGCTCAATTAATTAGAGCAACAGCACGAAACGCTGTTTCCAATCTACAATCGGATTCTACCTTTAACCTGTCAATAACATTGATAAAGTCCTTTCGCGAATGAAGCCGCGGTATCAAGCTAGATGACCTATTCGCGATAGCCGTTGGTACAAAGCCAGTGACCCGTTTACTCAGACATCTGCTAAGGCAGCTGTTCCCTTTCCGCGCAAAGGAAGTAGCTAAGTTCTTCAATTTTTTTGCCCGCACTTAGATCCCAACTAAAACCCTTTGCCATATCTGGGTACACAATCGTCATCCCTTAATTGTGCTGAACGCAAAAACTCCCCTCCACTTAGAAACTAGTTAGACATTTGCTTGTTCTTTTTGCCGGACTATTATTTTCTCGCGGTTGCATAGGTACCTTTAAGAATGTGTATATGTTGGTTTACACTGGTCTGTAAAGAGTTATCGGTATCTTTTGTAATTACGAAACAGCACGGAAAGCTGACGATGCCGGTTCAAGTCCTGCCCGAGTCGAAAATTTTTTCAATTTATTTTCGATTTTTAAATTACGAAACTGTTTAGTTTTAAAGCTCTTCTAAAATAACATGTTCGAAGCATCCGAAACATTGGGCCGTAGTTAAAATAAGTTTGACTAATATATATCACATTTTAAACCGAGTTTTATTTAAATGTGTACTACTCGCGTAAACTACGGACAGTATCGCATTAGTTTTTTTTAGTCTTTTCTATAACAATGTATTAATTGAAGTAAAGACTATTATTTAAACTCAACTTTAACAAATATTAAAAATGCGCTAGTCTCTGTTGTCTCTAGTTTACGCGAGTACACATTCATATAAATTACTTTTAACAGTATAAAACGCGAACTGTATTAGTTAACTGATTTATCACATAACCACAGCCCCTGCAAAGCATTCGAAACGTCGTAGTTAAAATGAATTGTGATTAAGTAATATATTTCGCGTTAAACCGTTAAAGTATTTCTAAATAGGTATAGGGTATTCTTGTAGTGTGTGGTCATATTACATAGAGTATAGATAATATAAACTGCTGAGAAGTGTCAAGTGTAAGGAAGATATTAACTACCAGTTAGTTTAGGGTTTAACATCTTTACGCGTTACCTCCATAAATTATGACTAAGCAAACACAACCTTTGGGCTATTTACATTTTGGGATACAATATTGTCTACTTACTCATGATAAACATGATTTATATTTGATTCACGATCCGTAAACTCTATTATTCATTGTTAACATGCCTTCATTCTGTTTAGTTAAGTTAAGTTAAAGTGTTTCATAAAAATGTGAACGTATACTATATCTAGACCTATGTTTAAGTTGGAACCATAAGAAAATTCTATATTCACCAACGAGACTGTAGCGGGTGTGGGTTCGAGCCCCGCCCGCGTAATGAATTCTATTTCTTTAAAAGCATGCATATAAATTACTCACCGGTATCATTTTTGGGTGACATGTGGGGATGGAGATATATGTTCTTTTCTGCAACAAAAAGCGTATCTTAGTACTTAGCAAAGTAAGCATAAAATTAATTATATAGATATTATGAATATGACAGAGATTTTCTTCTAAAATAAACTGCAAATAGCGGCATCAACAGCAATGTTACTAATTCTAATTATTAGGAAACTAAATGTTGCCTAACTACGTGTCTAGGTGACCTTTACTACCATGCCCTAATAATAAACATTGGTCCTTAACGACAATACAACACGTAAGTTTCGTCGGACAGGGCACAGAAGTGTCTCCCATGCCCAAGATAGAACGGATTTTGTGACCGAGGCTGCTGCAAAGCATTCGAAACGTCGGGCCGTAGTTAAAATAATTTTCAAATAAGTTTGACTAATATATATCACATTTTAAACCGTGTTTTATTTAAATGTGTACTACTCGCGTAAACTACAGACAGTGTAAAATCTTTGAAGAACACGTTCGGCAAATCAAGTTGTTCAAAGTAAGTACATTAAACGTAAGATTTATCAAATGACGGAAACGTAACAGTAAAAACCACTTACACACGTACAAAGATTTGAATTTAGAACAGTACGTCACGTAGAGTAATAGATAAGCCGCTCTAGATGATAAGTTACCATAGAGCGTAGACTATCATTGATCTTGTATCTGTTTTTGAGTTTTGCTTGCTTTAATTCTATGCAGGATTTATTGATATTTTTGTTCTACATTTAAGAAATCGGATTCTTTGGCGCCAATTTTATATTTACTTAGACGTACTTGCTGTGTAAGCTCTATATAAGGAAACTGAATGGATTATTTATTTATGACGTTATAGAGAGGTGTCGTTAATTAAAAAAGAAAGAAAAAGGTTCTTTATACATTTGAAAAGCAATTTTTTAAACGCTATTATTTATAACTAACGCGTATAGTCTGTATTTTTTGTCTAACTTCGATATTTTATTCATATCTTTGCGATATTTAGGCATTCAATTGAGCAGCTTTATAAATTTTAGCAACTAAAAAGCACATTTTCTCACTAGTTATTATTACTGAGAGTGTGTAAGATGCTACGCAGAGTGTATCAATGTATAATTGTATGGTGAACAAGCCAAAACAAAATCAATTGGTTTCGACGTTTTAGAGAGTTCGTCGTTAAATTGGGTGACGTCACATGAAGTTTACACTTTATTTCTCAATACTAGGAGTTAAACGACGACAAACAAATAAATTATTTCTTTCTGATATCTATACTAAATAATGATTATTTATTAGTCTTGTTTTTCCTGCACTTATACAATTCCAACATAATAGAATTTAATTCTAAAATTTTCAGTGTCTTCTCAGAGTTAGTTAAGTAGTATAAGCTCTTTACATTCCACCGCGCGTCCAGCTTTCGCCTTAATAAGTAGAAAGGCCGTACTTAGCAGCTCATATTCTCCTACTTTTACTTCGCTAAGCCGCGCATTGTCTCCCGAACCAGTCTAATGTAACCGTATTATTGCCTCGTCCCGTATATTATGCCCTAATCCGTATGAAATCGGGTAGCGTTTTAAACGATTTAAGTAGGATTAAGCATCGCGCATGGCATAACAATTTTAAGGTATGTAAATGCCCCTTACGTAAATGGTTACACAAAATATGAATAAACAAGTTAGGAATTTGTAGTTATAAAATAGATAGACATAGGCTAATAAAATATAATTAAAAATTAAAATCTCATTTTCCGCTGTGGGACAAAGGGCGAACACATAGACAAGTATTTGTACAGACTTGCCCAACCGAAACTCTAGTAAGTTTTCCCGGGACTAGAACTCAAGACCTCTTTCGTTTAACACTAGGCAACATGGACAAAATCATTTTAATTTATTTTAAAATTTTTATATAGATGGCAGCACTGTATTTAATTTAATTGTATAATAATAAAAAAGCAAACAATGATAGCGTAATACCATAATTGTTTTTATTGAGTATCTCAGTTTATGTTGTACAGTATTTTAATTAAATTAAATTTACTTATATGGCATGAGAGTCGAGTATTGCCCTCTTGGGCAAATACTTGTTACTAATGAAATTAAATTGAGCATTAAGTCAGATTTAAAATCAATACATCAAACTTAAATAAAACACTTTAACGGTTTAAAACGCGATTTATTTTAGTTAAACTTGTTTGAGAATTATTTTTAACTACGGCCCGACGCTTTGTTTAGTCTCCTCGTGATCACGGCTACTGACTTACACTATCAAAGCATCCAAAACGTCGGGCCGTAGTTAAAAATAATTCTCAAACAAATTTAACTAAAATTAAAGTGTTTTATTTAAATGTGTACTACTGGCGTAACCTACAGACAGTATTTATTAATTCAACTGTTAGAAAAAAATATTTCTTCTTAAAACGAAATATTTATTTTACGTGCGAAAATAACATATACATACATGCCTCCAAGTATGTGGTTACTATAGTATAAATTTACTTATACAGAGATTTAAGGAAATTTATAAAAAAAATAAAAATTAATTTCGGGGTATTTGCTGTCATCGTATCCTCAATACGCCAGGGTCAAGAAGTATGTTAGTAAGTTCTACTCGCTATTTTTTTTTATTATAAATATAAATTAGTTTTAATGATTTAAGACAAATAAACAGATCTTTTTATAAAATATTATGTTATTTTCTGTTTAGATATATTTTAGATAATGTGATTTTTTATAATATTTTTCTATAAAGATATATAACACCTACACCCAACTTACTGAACTATAAAATAACTGAATATTGTCTGTAGTTTACACGACTACTCATTTAAATAAAACGCTTTTAACGGTTTAAAAACATATATTACTTGGAAACGTTGGGCTGTAGTTACATTAAAAGTAACTATATATTTCGCGTTTTATTTTAATGTGTACTCCTCGCGTATATATAACTAATAAACTCACATTCCAGGATGAGTTAGCTAAATGAAGTTGTTAGTACAAAGCAATCGCTATGAGACACGTCTAAGATACAAGTATTCAAATGACATCCAAATTAAAGCCTTTTCAACGTGCATAAGAATTCAACGAACATTTCTCTGCGCTAAATATTCATAAATTCAAATAACCCGTGTAGGAGTGACACCGGGGTGTTATTAAGATTTCGAGATGAATTCTTTGATGACAGCTGCAGCGGAGAGCGGAGCGTTTGCGAACACAATTTGTGAAGTTCGGAATTAACTTTTTAAGGTTTCTTTTCATTAATTATTTCCCTAGGTTATCACTGTGTGGATTTTACTCTTGTTAATCTTCTCTGTGTCTACCAGTAATGGGTCAACCCCATATTTCACTTAACATCTAACATCTAAACATGTCGTGTTTGCATATTTATAAGCTATATTTTTTAGATGATTTCATTGTGTTATGCTATTGAAGCCATGTCTGTAAATTTAATCTTAGTTTAGTTTATAATTTAGTTAGTAAAAAAACATGCACTGTCGACTTATTTCGGCTCTGAATATTCAGAAATACACAGACTAAGCCGAAACGCGATTAAACTTCACGGCTTATACATCTGTGGACAGACGGAATTTTCGACATTCCTACCATCCATTTGATACCCAGATTAACTGACGAACGAAACATGCTTTAAAAAAATATATAAATTGATAAGAATTTTATCATTGTCTTTCGGGCTTTTCGGCCGACGTGGACGTTTTGCCATCACGTGTCTGTGTGATTGCTCGAAGAATTAACGTCGAAGAAACGTCGAGAACCTCTTCTCGCTCACGCCGGCCGAACAGCCCGAAAGACAATGATATGCTGAACGATGGCCGTGAAAGCCTTATACAATTTATTGATAAGAATTTTGTTGGACCAGGTGGGGATCAAAAGAACCCGTTATCAGCGATTATCAGCCATACAGTGCTACCATTAGACGAAGCCCGTCATAAAGCCACCTCAACTATAACCATCATACAAGTCAAAGCATGTAAAACCATTACACAGACAGATTGTAGGGTCGCATATGTTGAATGTTTATTACGCGCAACAAATCTAACGGCGTGGAAGGGACAAATTGGCGACGCAGTTTCTGGATTACCTTTACAAAAGGACCGGCAATAAAAGGTAACAATTGACAGGGAATTTGCAATCCGACTAAAAGTACCTTTTTCTGGATAAAAGCTTCAAGAACTCCTAGCACGAGTTAAAAAGTAAAGTCCCGTTTTCTCCCATATGGAAAGGGACTCGTGGAAATTATTTACCGCTGCTGCAAAGCATCTGAAACGGCCCGTAGTTGAAATAATTTAAGTTTAACTAATACTTATCGCGTTTTAAACTGTTAAAATTTGTCTCCCCGTGACCACGGCTGCTGCAAAGCATCCGAAACGTCGTGCCGAAGTTAAAAATCATTTTCAAATAAGTTTAACTAATATATCGCGTTTTAAACCGTTAAAGTGTTTTATTTAAATGTTATTTTTTTTTATTAAAATGTGTACCATTCGCGTAAACGTCAGACAGTATCTATTTGAAAATTATTATAACTACGGCCCGACGTTTTGACTTTGACATCAGAGACTCCCTTCATATTGAGTCTCCCCAAGACCACAGTTGCTGCAAAGCATCCGAAACCTCGGGCCATAGTTAAAATAATTTTCAAATTAGTTTACCTAATATCGCGTTTTAAACGTTAAAGTGTTTTATTTAAATCGAGTGGATCCATAATTTTAATACAGCGTGAATCAAATATTATCTTTAAACAAAAATGTCTTCATTCTTTCCACATTCCTTATACAGGAAAATGAAAGCTGGGTTTGGTAATTTGGCAGCCTGGTGCAGTGGCCCCTCGTGAGACATTTGGTAGCGACGCGGCGAGACAATTTGCATACAAAGACCGCGGCTGGGACGAAGACCATCTCGGAAGTACCGTTCGTAACATCCGATACGTTATTGGTTATTCAAGTTTTTGTTTAACTAGCTGGTTCCCGCGGTGTTACGTATCGCATATTTTAATTA